CACCTTTTTCATTCCAATTCAAGCACTGGCCATTACAGGATGTCTTTAAGTCACGTAGGGGGTCTAAAGATAACATTTCTTCATTCACTCTCAATGCTCTAAAGCACATGTGTCAAACTCAGGCCCGGGGGCCAAATCAGGCCCTTGGTGGATTTAATTTCGGCCCGCAGGATCATTTTTAAATAACTATTAGATCTGGCCCGCCGGTATATTGCACGCACACCTTCCTCAGCTCAGAGCCTGACCCCAAACATTGATGAACTTGCACCCAAGATGAGATGCCAAGTATCTGGCTTAGTGTGCATCACAGAGCAGCACACTGAGTTTACATGGATGTTTCCTTTTGCACTTTTTTTCTTGCGACAACAGGGCATGTTTGGTTTTTTCTTTGAGGGAAATTGTTGTTGGCCTGTGGAAAAATGTAATCATAAGAAATGACTGAGGAAAAGCTGCAGATAGAGCCATAAGAAATGAATGCAACTGATTATTTAATGTTTAATGTTGTTTTATAGACAATAATTTAAGCTTTGTTAGTTCCAGGTTTAATATGTGCAATAAGTTCATTTCAATACGTTTTGCAATAAACATTGAACCAGTCCGGCCCTCGAGTACCGATTTTTTTATTTTGGCCCACTGTGTATTTGAGTTTGACACCCCTGGTTTAGACCATTCATTTCATTAGTAAAAAAGATTTGGATAGAGAGCTTCACACAACTGAAATAATGCCATCAAAATTCCACTTTGTATATGACATTGTACAGAAAGTCTATAATTATAAGACCGTTCCCCAGAAAAATATTAGAAGTAAGAATGCAACCCAGATTTACATTATACTAAAAACATTTACACATCTTGACCCTCTTTATTATAAACATAGCCAGTCAGAAACCTTATTAAAGATATGTTTTAATTAGTGCTGTCAAAATTATCGCGTTAACGGCGGTAATTAATTTTTTGAATTAATTGCGTTAAAATATTTAACGCATTTAACGCATGTGCAGAATGGCCCGCCCCATACGTGCCACCAGTGGCAGCGCCAGGGTATGGCTGGGGTATGCTACACCCATACCAAGAAATGGCTTAGCCCCACCATGAAAAATGATGTTAAAGTAAGCAAAATAAAGTCTGCCAACTCGCGCGGAGTAAATTGCACAGACAGCTGTTAGTAAGATTGATTTCAGCAGCCACGGTTTTGAAAACTTTTGTCACGTAGTGATCGTCTTCTCAATAGAACATCTTTGATAACGGCGTGGTGTTGTTGCAGGAAGTCCCGACGGAGAATACTTTTGCTGTAGTACGGGGGGCACATAACTGGTACGCAGGTTATGTGCGTAATCTGAAATGCGTACCGTCACTTGTGTCACAAAGCGCATTTGCATACCGACGTACTTGTGAAGCTTTTCCAGAAGGCGGTTAGATCACCGGACGACAGAGTCGGTCTCCGTGTGCACAGACAGGGCTGCTGTTAACGTCGGTCTGTACAACGGAATTGTGCCAAAACTACGCCAAACGGCTGCGGAGGGAGACTCCCCCCTTCACTGGAGAACTGCGCTAAAACAGCTGATCACAACGTTCACACTCTGTGGTCACGAAGTACTCCACTAGCCCCCCCCCCCCCCCCTCTGTCGACTTTCCTGAAGTACTCCCCCGTTGATAGAAATCAACACGTAATGAATTAAGATCCCACGGTTTGATGATTGATAGGTGTGTGGGTTGTCTTTCATTTTGACACGCAGAAAAATGTTATAATAAACATAGATACTGTATGTTAAATGGATATATCCGCCTTCTTTCCATTCCCACAACAATATACATAAATAAATGGCATATTTTGGACATAGTTCGAATGGTGATTAATCATGATTCATTAATTTTAAAGCTGTGATTAATCTGATTAAAAATTGTAATCGTTTGACAGCCCTAGTTTTAATGTCTTATTGTTAGGAAATCAAGTGTGAAAAGGAGGCAGCATTTATCCATGGTTGAATCGTACAAAAGTATTTGGTTTCAAAGTAAATCTGGGCATTCAAGTGAAATACGAGCCTGCGGACAATATCTACATGGTTAATTGTTGTACATGAATAGCCGTTTAAATTCATCCCTTGCATGGTCAGCTTGTGTTCAGTGTTCTCCGTCTCTCTGAATGAAGACAACAGATACATACGCAGCGTATGTATCTGTTGTCTTCATTCAGAGAGACGAGAACACTCGGGTCATGTACTCATTCAAAAGTTATCCATGTGCCTGCAAACAAATAATCTAAGTTGCTCACAGTCACAAATTTGACTATGAGGCGAACTTTGGACATGCTATTATGGAACTATGCTAATAATGAGGATAGTTTTTTGCATAGCTAGGCAAAAAAGTGCGCAGGGCTTTGCATGTATGCTTTGTGTATATGTGTTAAACAAATCTCCCTGATGGGACATTAAAGACTGTAGATATCTACTAAAAGACTAATATGTACAGTCTTGATAGGTCTTGCACTCTTGTGTTTAAAAAACAGGTTCAAATGTTAGAAGTATGTCTTAACCCTTCTCTTGCGTTTCGGGTCAAAAGTGACCGAGTGACTTTGTTTTTGATCATAAATATTGTGTTTTTCATCCAATTGCCTCAAGACCTTATGTTATCCTCCACACTAGGCCTCTGAACATATACAATTGATGATCACCACTTGCATTGATTTTATTGTGATTTATTCAACAGTGAAACACCCATGATGTTTTCGGAATTGAATGAGTATGAGTGTATTATGTTCATCCTGCAGATGGAACATCTCCACACATACACACACACACACACACACACACACACACACACACACACACACACACACACACACCACACACACACACACACACACACACACACACACACACACACACACACACACAGACATACACACACACACTTCTCGTGCTATGTCCCCCCACACCTTCCAGAAAAAACAATTTACAGGAACCTCTCACTTTCTCGCGCTGTATGATACAATGTATCATACCTTCTCACAGGTGCGAGCTCTGTGCCCCTCGAGAAAGAAAAACCTCACACTTTCTCGCAGTAAATGCGCCTCCATTACTGTCTCTCATGCAGTTATATTTGTGCCTTGCTCACATTTGACTCATTGACAAAATGAGTAGGCGACCGATTAGGCGATTTTCTGTCAGAGAGGCTGTGGAGTAATGTTTTGAACCAGATGAAGAGGAGATTGAACCAGACATAAAGGACGATGTCTCAGAAATGGAAGACAACAGCGATCCAGACTATGAGCCTGACCAACAGTCAACAGACCAGGAAGAGGCCCCTGAGGGAGAGGCCGCTGAGGGAGAGATTTCTATAATATACAGTAATGTACAGTAAGCACTATCTTTGAACTTACTGCAAAATGATAACTTGAAATTCACCCCTTGTGTCATTCTGTCTGCCACCCCTTGATTCTTATTGCTTTGACTGTTCAAATGAGAGGTCAACCATCAAAATTGGATTAGGGGTTCCAGAGATATCACTGTGCAAAACACACCGAAAATAGTATGACCTAACGCAAGAGAAGGGTTAAAACAGTACTTATATGTTGAAGTATATTAAAATAGTTATTATTTAACTGTATTCCAAACAGCAGTGTGGGCACAAACTGCTTCCGTCACGTAAAAGGAAACCTGCAGATTTTTGCATAGAGACCAAATGTTCCATCAACAAAAGTGATTAATCCTTTGTGTTTGCGGCCTGTGATTTGGATCTGGTCTCAAATTAAATGGGTTTTCCCCCATTGATTCACCTTACAACCAGGTTTCATGTAAATTGGGCTCATAGTAGTGCAGTTATCCTGCTGACAGTCACACAAACACACTGAACTTTACCTCATTGGCAGATGTAACATTACTGCTATACTGACATATATGAATAAATGTTAGTACTGTTTTAAAGTCATTTTGTTACACCTGCTGTACATTTTACCCCACTGACAGCAATGATGTACAGATGGTGCAGACACATTCTTTTGGACACATACTTTACATAATTTTTGTTATTTTTAATTATATTTGTATCCTTCAAGTGTTTTCTGATACGTAAAAAGCTTTTTTTCTGACTGTATACAACTCCAGAAATATTAAAATATCGTACATCACAAGTAGAATTGCAAGCCAGACTTGATTTTACTAACATAATTTTCTCTTGAACCTTTGTGTATCATTTGTATCAACACATTGAATAATCCAAACACCGCAGACACCATTTTGCGTGTCTCATGGAGCTGTGATGTAAAAAGGAAGGACTTCTGTCACCTGAATTGTGCCTTTTGTGTGGTGCCCAAGAATTCTACGGTCTTTAGTCCACAAAGAGGTAATTGTAGTGTGTGGGGGCTTTATGGCAGAGGGAGAGAGAGGGTCTGATTTCACATTGTGTTGAACAGAAACCAGGAGTTTCCTATACAATCACCCCACAGGGCAGTGAAATCTCACCTGTACTCGTATAGACTCACAAAGGCGTAATCCGCTGAGCTATTTGAGTAAATCTTTAAATGCTGGGTGCACAGTTTAAACAAACTAAAACCAAAGCAACCGAAACAATGCAAAGTACTGTCACCTAATATCATCTTTTATGTTGATTCATACTGTACAGTGCACTTAAAAGATATTTTGATCCCTGAAGGTAGAAACGTTGTTTAAAAGTGTTTATTCACCTGTTGATCCCATGTAGCAATATGAAATACAGCACATTTTTTATAAATACTTCTTTACAATTTCAATTAATTGGTGTTTAAATCAAGCAAGTCATTCTATGTTCACATCAAAACTCATAAAAGGTCATTTAGCGAAAATTATGAAACACTTTTTTATGATGTATTTTCACCTTAATACCCAAAGTACCTGTTTCCAAGAATCATTTCCACATCAATTATAGGGCAACTTTAGACCCACCCAGCAACCGCAGGCCTTTAGTCTCCTCCTCTCACAACATTAAAGCTGTGCAGGTGAGATTTTCCTCTTATTACGTTACCACTTGAGTGTCGGCAGGAAACGAAGGGGTGGTGGTGACAGAGAGCAACAGAGATAGGAAAGCCAGAGAGAGAGAGAGGTCCTTCACTTCAACCACAGCTGACAACAAAAAAAACAGATATTTCACAGCAGGTGAGTGGTTCTGATTTTAAATGTTAGATTTTGTGAGCATGATTTGAATTCAGCTAAATAGAGCTTTGATGCTTGTGCACAGGGAGATGCTGGTCAGAAACAGTGGTGCTATTGTAGCCTGAGAATGATACAGCAGTGGGGGAATTTGTGGTATCAGTTATGTTTTGATGCTTCTGGTCCAAATGTTTCTCTAAAACAATAACTTATATCGAGAATTATTCATTTCATTTACAATCATTTTCACTTCAGAGTAAATCTGTCTGTATTTCAGGCAATTTTAACATGTTTTGGAGTCGCTAAATCTCATAAGGATGAGTCATATCCTTAAGATTAATGTTTTGGCTGATTGTGATAAACTCAAAACTTGTCCGGTTTTCCGCTTATAGCCTTTCCTCATTTCAAAAATGATATAGACACAAATATTTACATTACATTTGGATTATGTTGAGGGTTCATTTGTTTTCGTTTGAATAGTCCTGAAATTCAATCTTGAATCCGATCACCAGTACAACATAATTAAAATGCAAACCCCAGGAAGGTGTAATTAACAGCATGAAAATGTAACACCTGAACACACCTCTTGATGCTGTTCATCAATCTGAATATTCTCTTGGATATAGTATCTTCACTTTTTCCAATTAAACTCATACATTTTCACACAGAGGCCAAAATGGCCACTGTTGTCACCCAGTTTCCAGGGTGTAGAGCCCATAGGAGGCATAGGAGGCTGGGTTCCAGGGGAGAGCGGAAAAAACAAGCCGTGCAGCTCAGCAACTCTCCCAAGGGGACTGATGGAGGAACAAACACATTTTAATTGTCTTCAATAATAAACCACTGCAAACAGATATATGATATAATTGCAAGTCACTACACAGAATTAGTCTTGGCAAAAATGACCTCATGCGGGGGAGACCATTGATGGAAATTGCTTCTCATGCTTGATTTAAAATGTTATGACTAAGCTTTTGTTCTAGATGAAACTAGGTTCAAAGGCTTTGAGTTCATATGCACAGTAGCTACAGTGTATAATGGAAAAGAAACCTCCAACAAAGCAACATAATTATAAAACAAATGGAAGAAGAAAACTATAAATATAATGCAAGACAAAACAGAGTAATAAATAGTGCTGATAATGTTACAAGACCAATATCATGTGAGAAACGGTGGGTACAAATATAAAAGAATATTATTGTAGCTTTAAATCTCACATTTAACAATGTCTTATTGTCAACTAAACAATTATCAGATCAGTTTACCTGAACAATAAGAGGATTGTAAACAGATAAGACTCAGCTGAGTGTCATATCAAAAGAAGTGCCCAGGTGGGATACAATGAAAGGTCATGCATGGCTAGCAATGGTAAACAATTTCCATTGTGCCCATATTACCATCCCTCACAAAGATCTAATGTCAGCACTCTTAATTCTGTTTGTCATAGATAGCTCTGTTTATCCTGCATGCAGACATTTGTTATTTTACATCTGTGTACTAATAGTGAATTACTAGCAGAACTTCTCTCAGCTGTCATGTAAGTTGTGTATTTTTCTCTTCCCTTTATTATGATTTTTAGGAAATAACTTCAGTACACACTGGACAAAGAGCTCTCTCCATTTCTGCTAATGTGATGATGGCCTCCGCTACTTTCATAAAAGACACAGGTATGAGTGTGTGTTTGCTCATTTAAAATCACTGTCAGTGCTTACATACATGATAACACTTTGAGGTACATAGAAGAACGAGCCAAGCTTGTCAGTAAAGTTAACTTTGTTTGCGATGCAAGAATCGACATTCTCTATCTTGAGATTCTAAATTCAGATAAGGAAAATTATCAAAAGAAATACAGCAAAAAGGGACAAACTAAAGTAGATATCGTATTAATGGAGTTGAGAATTCGAATACCTTTATTCGTCCCACAGAAGGGACATTTGCATTTGTTACAGCAGGAAAAGAGCCAAAGACAGCTTCATGTTAACTGAGAAACATGCATAAAAAAAACATTAAAGATTAGCCAAATTTAAAAAAGAACATTTTACACAACCTAAAATGTCTCCAATGATAATGTTTTATATCCGAAACATCTCCTTTCTATTTCTTGTACTGCTTGTTGTACATAGTGTGCCATGTAGAAAATGTATACACACTGTAATGGTTGTCTAAGTCAAAATACAGGTGTTTGTTAAAAAATAAATGCAGTTAAAACCATTGAAACTTTGGGACTCAATTGCGTCAGTCCCAAAAGCAAAGTTGTCATTATGTAGCTCTCTCGTGAATAGATGACACATGCATGTCGGCATAGTTACAGTGCACAGCGCTCTGTGCGTGGACAAAACAAGTGCAAGCATACATGCCTATTAGTTTATATTATGTCTATTTGAGCTATTTCTTTACCGTTCTCTTTAGGAATCACTTAGTACTTGTATTGTTGAACCTAAATACACTTTTTAACTCACGGCTATTCTAAGAAAATATTTGAGGGTCTATTTTTTTTGGGTAACCAGTGTAAAACAAATATAATACGTGCGAGCTCAGCTAAATAACAGATTTTCATTTCACATCTGGTTTCCAAACAATAAAATACATATGTTCTTTTCCCCATAATACCAGGCTGCACAGGCATGCTGTACGTGCTCCTGTTTGGACTACTGCTGCCTTCAGTGTCAGCCCAATCAATTACTACAATGTCCCCGTCCTCCTCCACTACTGCCTCCATGTCAACCGCAGCACCTACTACCACCATGGCAGCCATGACAACCACCGGCACCACCCAGTCCCCCACTGTCATGACCACTACAGCCACCCCAGCAGCCACCAGCAATACCCAGCCCCCTGCCACCACCTCTGGACCCACAACCATGGTCCAGTCCATCGCCGTTATCGCAGCAACCCCCACCGCCCAGCCTGCCAGCTCCACCACTGTTGGAGGTACAACAATTAGCAGCACCACCCAGTCCCCCACACCCACAGCAACCTCTGGAGGTACAGCATCCACCACCACTCCTTCCCCTACATCCACACCCACATCTGGAGTCACAGCATCCACCACCCAGTCCCCTACACCCACAGCAACCTCTGTAGGTACAGCATCCACCACCCAGTCTCCTACACCAGCAGAAACATCTGGAGCTACAGCATCCACCACCCAGTCCCCCATACCCACAGCAACCTCTGGAGGCACAGCATCCACCACTACTCCTTCCCCTACATCCACACCCACATCTGGAGTCACAGCATCCACCACCCAGTCCCCCACACCCACAGCAACCTCTGGAGTCACAGCATCCACCACCACTCCTTCCCCTACATCCACACCCACATCTGGAGTCACAGCATCCACCACCCAGTCTCCTACACCGGCAGCAACATCTGGAGCTACAGCATCCACCCAGTCCCCCACACCCACAGCAACCTCTGGAGGCACAGCATCCACCCAATCCCCTACACTCACACCCACCTTACCTTCCACAGCATCCACCACCCAGTCCCCTACACCCACAGCAACCTCTGGAGGTACAGCATCCACCACCACTCCTTCCCCTACATCCACACCCACATCTGGAGTCACAGCATCCACAGGACCCGCCACCCAGTCTCCCACAACAACCTCCGGAGGCATAGCAACCTCCGTCACATCCACCACACAGTCTGGCACCAGCATCACAGCCAATTATGCATCTACAGCTGCTATCACCACTGATAATTCAATCAGTGCTAATAATCCAGGATCCACCTCTGCTTCCTCTACATTTGCTTTAACAGCCAGCACCATGTCCGGACCTGCCTCCTCCTCCTCCTCTTCCTCATCCTCCTCCTCCTCCTCCTCTTCCTCTTCCATGACGTCAAACTCTGGTCCTTGGACCTCAATGATGTCCACAACTCCTTCATCAAACTCTACTTGTAAAGCTTCATTTGTTTCATGAAAAAAAAAGAATTGTGTTTCGTATTATGTTGTCTATCTTTCTGTATCTTTAATCATGACATCTATCTTTTTGGTGCAGGTGGCATGACTGGTATGAATGGAACCACTATGGTAAATGTTACATCGATGAGCATTGCAAGTCCACCTTATTTAGAGTAAACTGTAATGATGTTATGTGTTTTTTTCCCTTTAGCCTCTGACCCTCATAATATACTTTTCGTCTCTCTCAAACACAGATGTACTGCCCCTCATTCACCTGTAACTACACAGACTGCTATACGATGTACACCAGTCAGAATACAACGTTATGTGCTGATGGTGTCTGCTTGTGTCAGGTAGGGACGCAAATGATACTGAAAATAAGTTGAACAAAACGATTTGATGCATTGTCCATAACAAAGAACCACCCTAACAGTCTTTTGCTTCTTTTAGGAAATTCAGTATATCTTGCTTAGTGGTCAATGATATGTTCAAAAAGACAAAAGCATCTCAAATGTGTCTTCTAATATGTCATTCTTCACTGTGTCAGCTGATCAAACAGACGGACATGTGTTACACCGTTGGCTGCAGCTTGTCCTGTGCTGATAGCTGCGTCAACGCCTCTCAGACCAACTGCTCTGTGTACTGCTGCAATTCTACCGGCTGCCTTAATAGCAGTTTTGCATCCATGATGATGAATACAACCACAGGTACTCATCTTTAACGTCCCCATTTTATGACGGCTTAATGATGGTAATACAGCGAGGCAATTAAGGATTTATGTCATGTATGATATTTACAGATGTATACTTGTAATTGTAAGGTTGCAATTTTTTTAAGGGTTCATTATTTTCTTTTCCTGGTTTTAGTAATGCCAAGGACATCAACCAAACCCACAATGAAAACCACCATTCTTCCAACAACCGCAAACAAAGTAAAGACAAACGGAGGGATTTATTTGTGTTTGCTCGCATTTTCATAGATGCATATATGGTGACAGAAAGCTATAGTTGTGTGTATCGCTGAAGTTCATTTCGTCTCCTCTTGTTTTTTCTCACTAACTGCAAACAGATGTGACTGTCGAAGGAAAAATTCTGCTAGTCATGTCTGGTGTGAGATTAGTATCATTGCTTCTTCTGTTTTCTTTTTTTCAGGGAAACAAATGCCACATTGGTTCATGTACTGGCACAGATTGCTACACAACTTTTCAAACAGCCCAGACATGCACCCCCTCACAGCCACACTGTCAGGTGAGAACTGCTCTGGCAATATTGAATGTCATATTTATGAATATATCATTGATTTTAAATGTTTAACCATCTGGAGTGCAGGAAGATTTTAGCCAGCATTCTATGCATTCATTGTTGGCTTTGTTTAGCAGCTTTGAAATGGTCCTTACCCAATTGGTGTCTTTTTTCATCACAAACTCAATTAGACTGAGCCATAAACCCAAGATACACAAACAAATGTGCCGTATGCCTTTGTATACTGCACACAAATAGTGAAGACAAATGTAAAGGAAACTATAATACAGTGTATTTTATGTGGAGCCATGTTACATCAACTAGTTGTTGTGCTTGTAAATCATTGAAAATATTAATAATTCATTAAAATTCTCTTTCGAAAAATGTTGGCAGCCCACAGGCTTAAATTATGTAAAAGACTCCTATCAGCACTTTTTTTCTGCTTGTTTCTTTAAGATATTCTAATAAAGTTAAGTTTCTATGTATATAATATGCTCATTGTATTCTCGAATGAATAGACCGACAACACACACTCTCTTATTTAGACTTTCAACCACTTGTCCTTCAATGTTTTTTCTCATTCACTATTGCCTTTTCAGCTGAAAAAGGAGACAGAGGGGTCTGGTTTGAAGTGGACGGCAGGCTGCACCACCAACTGTTCTTACCTGACTCCATGCAAGGCCTCCACACTACCTCCATGTCACCTGGAGTGCTGCAACGCCACTATGACCTCCTGCCTGCGGTTGAACGGCACGCTGAATGTTCCTAATTTCTCCACAAGAGGTCCTCATCTCAACACAGAATTGGTTGCTTCCTTATTTTGCCTGCTCGCCATCACTTTACTGCTCTGAGTCTCTGAGTAGGAGCTAGCTCAGCTGCTCTGCGGGTCATTAGGTAATCAGAGCTTTGTGTCATTCCTCCAGAGAATGCAGAGGATAGCACTACTTCATTTATCTCACTGATATTCACATGTGATTGTAATGTATTTGTAAATGAAAAATTATATCTTATATAACTTCAGGAATCACTTTACATTTGAGGTGCAAATCAGCTATACAATTAACACAATCATTTTTCACTTTAAACTTTTTTTCTCAGTGGATTTTTAAGAAATATTTTTGAATCACCATGTCATTTCTTTGAGCCATGCACTTGCCCATAACTTAATTTCAAGAACTGTTTTCTTGAAGAAAGCTAAAACTGTTTTTGTTTGCACCTATCGGAATTATTTTAGACGTATTCGTATGGGTGAGTGAGCCTAAACACGTTTTTTTGTATTGATGTGGTTAGAAATGTTTTATTACTTTAAACTCTCCCTAGATTATCTTCTCTTCAAACCATTGTGAGAGTATCACAGCTTTGACTCTAAATGCACTTTATGAAACACACACATGTTGAGCTGTTACAGGGTGTTGTGAAGGTTTGCTGAAGGTTTAATGAAGTGTGCAATTAAGTACTTTGGGCTACTCTTTAGTTAATATTTTTGTGAATTTTGAGGTGTCTATATTGTGTGGTTTACAGAGAATATTTTAAGGTATAATGGTGTCATGTAAATGTTAAATGCAATTAGAAATGTTAAAATGTATTCTAGTTGTGTGTACTGTGTAAAATATGATTGTGCCTTATAATTAAATGAGCTATAATAAACTATATATCGTGAATATTCAATTGAATAATTCACATGTGAAATTTTAGGTCCTGTCATTTTTGTCTGTTTGGTGTTTTCTGCAACCTTTTGCCTACTTAATCAAACGGTTCAATAATTGATTCCTGGTGTTAAAGTGGTGTGACGTAACTAAGTGGATTTACCTCTACTTTTATATAGTTACTCATGAATGTTAAGCGTAAGGTTTTACATAAAAAAACAAGATAGGGGATGAGCTGATCAAACAATACAATCCTTTTTTTAATTGTCAGTCAGTCTTATTTATGTTTCTTTTTTAAAATCTCCCTTATGTTAGTCCTCCAAAAAGACGGCCATTTGCAAATACAAAAAGTTCACTATTGTACTAAAAACTACATTTAACTCAAAATAAAAGTATATTTCCTACATTTTATACTGAAAATACAAGTTGTTTTCCTTTAAAACTATAAATCCATTTAAACCAGTTTGACCTTATGGATCATAAAACATTGACAAAACTCTGTTTGTTGGGTTGTATCTGCTTCATAGTGAGACATAATCCGGTTATGATGAAACGCCTGAGGCCTAATCCAAATAGTTGATGACAGCCCAGATGTGACGTCAGAGCACTGATCCTGAACCAGTGCGTGGCAGCAGACTGGGCCGGACCAGCAGGAAGAAGACTACATCTGGATTTGAAGGGAATAATGTCGGATTACACGAGGCTCCTGAAGTGTCTCTCTTCCTGCTGTGCATTTACAGAGAAATAGCTGGAGTTTCTCGAAGCTCCACCGGGGATTTACGAGTGTGGGAAGTGTGGAGGCAGGAGTTGACACGCAAATCTTCACCATGGATCAATCCGTCGCAATTCAAGAAACTTTGGAAAGGAAAGAAAACTGCATTATAGTATCCTTTGCAAAGTTCCCGTGCTGTTTTATGGATTTGAAACACTTCAAATGAAGGATTTCCTGCTTCAAATTGAATTGAAAGAATATCAGAGCTCTGGGAGAGGTTTGTCAGATTAGGGCGCTGCTACTCGGTTGACATCTATTTATAGTTGGCCACAACCTCACCGTGATTTCAATCCGGGCTGTGCATTCACACTGTACGATTTTATAGTGTGTGTGGGTTTAGTCGGGTGTGATTTCCCAGGGATTTGTGCCAATGTATGTAGTGAGACCTTTCAGCCACAAGATGCCACTTTGTTTCACCAGCTGCTGCTTTTCATAATGTAAAGGTAGTGGTGAAGCAAGTAGGGGTAGTAATTCACTTTCAGTAAACCTAAAAAATAATTATTAAAAATGACTCATTACAAGTCAAATGTAATGGATTCATACATTTGATGAAGTCCTTGTATTATCATGAATATTATCAACAATTAAAAGTACTTTTTTGCAGCAGAAAATGCTATATTCTGCTTTTTGATTATTATTAATAAGCACAAACATGTAAACAGCAATGTAATGCTGCATCTGGTGGAGGGGAAGCTAATCTTAACAATTTTCTTTAGAAGTCAAATTTCACCGATCTTTTATAAACTGTTGATGTAATATGTAAATGATCATTTGCAAAGTAACTACAGCCATCAGATAAAAAGTGGGGTTAAAAAGTACAATATTTCTCTATGAAAATTAAGGAATAAGTATGAAATGGAAATACTCAATTAAAAGCACCACTTACTGTAAGAAAACACATTTAAAATGTTTGCCATTGTACAGAAAGAAATGAGTGAAAACGAAAAAATTAGAAGTAGTTCATATTTTCTGATGAAATATTAAAGGTGCCACTGAAGAAACACAAGAACATGTTTCCACATTATCCTTAACTAAACTGTAAACATGCTGTCCAATGCGATGTCTTTTTTGATAACGTTACAGAGAGCAGACTGCTGGGATTGGTGGAGTCTACAAAAGAGCATGCGTAAGTCTTAAAAATATATGGTGCACATTAGCTGCAATATGGCTCCTGTATATTATTCAAAGCCATGTAGGCTAATTGTGTAAGGAGAGGGAGTGACTGTATCATGCACTCAACAACACAAACTGACACTAGGGCTGCTCGATTATGGCAAAAATCATAATCTCGATTATTTGGGTCAATAATTGATATCACGATTATTAAAAACGATTATCCATTTACTTTGAAAACATCAATTTATTGGAGAGAAAAATTGTGAACAGTATGTTTTTAACAGTTGATTACCTTAAACCAGGGGTGTCATACTAAAATACACAGTGGGCCAAAATAAATAAATCTGTGCTAGCCGAGGGCCGGACTGGTTCAATGTTTATTGTAAAACTGAAATGAAGTTATTGCACATATTAAACCTGGAACTAACAAAGCTTAAATTATTGCCTATAAAAACAACATTAAACATTAAATTATCAGTTGCATTCATTTCTTATGGCTCTATCTGCAGCTTTTCCGGAATCATTTCTTATGATTACATTTTCCCACAGGCCAACAACAGCTTAACAAAAACAATTTCCCTCAAAGAAAAACCAAACATGCCCAGAAGGAAACATCCATTGAACTCAGTGTGCTGCTCTGTGATGCTAGTTCAAGCAGATACTTGGCATCTCATCTTGGATGCAAGTTCATCAATGTTTGGGCTCAGGCTCTGAGCTGAGGAGATCCTCAGGATTGAGTGAAGGTGCAATATACCGGCGGGCCAGATCTAATAGTAATTAGAAATTATTCTGCGGGCCGAAATTAAATCCACCAAGGGCCTGATTTGGCCCCCGGGCCTTGAGTTTGACACATCTAAACTTTAAGTATAATTCAACAGAAAAACCAATAAAAAAATTATTTATTTGAAAAAGATGTAATAATAAAAAAATAATCGATTTATTTCGATTGCGTTGTTTTCGTAATCGTTGCAAGCCATAATCGTAATTGCGATTAAAATACGATTAATTGAGCAGCCCTAACTGACACAATGACCAGTGAGTTGCATCAGCCTCTATAACAAACTGATTATGAAAAGGGAAGCATTTATTGCCACGTCGCAAGCCTGTACTGTAGTGGTTTTAATTGCATTCTAATAAAGCTGTCTTTTTGTCTTGTCCACCCCTGCATGTGCATCACACTGCCATATAATTCCTGTTGTCATATTTTGTAGAATCTTTATTTATACCCATCGAAGGATGGCTATTACTGCTGATGACGTGTCGCTGGAGGACATCATACCCATCTCCCTCGACTTTGCTGTTGTGGAGGGTGAGCTGCTTCTCTATGTTGTACTTTATTGCAGATAATAATGCGTTCTCTAAATAGCTATGGGTTCTAGTGATATAATTACAGTCGTTTCTCAGAAGTGCCCTCGCACACATTTCTCACCCTTCACTCTTTTTTTAGTTTCTTCACCAGAGGAACTTGCGGTCGTGGGTGAGTCCATTTTGCTTTGAATCATAATGTGCTAAATTACTGATCCACAGAAGGAAACTGAACATGGTATTTACTCCTTTGTTCTTCATCTGATTTCTAGGTGCTGATACTAGAGTGAGAGTAAGCTACCAGGAGGAGGAATTAGAGCTCCGACTTCCTTTTGGGTCCCACTCCCGGCTCTTCCTGAGTGAGGTCAACAGGGCGTGGAGTGGTAGGTCAGCCCTCAGAGATGTGGGATATTTTCACAGGATGTCCTGCTGTAATTGCTTCAAAGCCTTTGAAAATATCCATGAAGTTAAAAAAAAAATGCCCTGAAACTGTTCAAATAGTACATTTACGTGAACCCTCCCCTTTTTGCATACATTTGGGTTTGGTGGTTCATATCTTAAGATTTTATTTTCGAAACAATGTAATAATAAATGTTATTTCTATAGCGCTTTTCTTGAACCCAAAGACGCTTTACATTTGGGACGGAGGGTAGACAAACAAAACAAAAAAGCAGTAAGGGGAAGTTGGTTGAGAGGGGGGGGGGCATTGTATGGCATGTAGGAGGCATCCATGAGTGAAGAAGTACAAATAATCTGCTCTAACCATCTGTTTATAAACCTGCTCAGCCAGTCTTCATCTGCCCTGTGTTGACATTGTGTTATATAAAACCTTTATTTAAAGTTGATTGGAAAACTCATTTAAAAGCGGTACACAGAAATATGTCTGAGGCGGATGATAACTATGTTGAACTTGTGCCAATTTTAGAAGCACTAACAGGTTTGGTTACTTCATCTGTCAGTTACTTTATGTTGGACATGACACATGTCTGGATGGTGTGTGGAGCATTTGTTGGCAATGGCAGAAAATGAGAACAGTTTAAACAGAACATGTACCTTTTATTGTTATGCTTCTCTTGAACACCTTTTTCCTTTCTTTACTCTGTTCCTCTGAATGGAATTGGTTCGGCGGTTAACAGACAGTCTGTTTTGTTAGGGGAGTGTCACTTTTGCCACTAGCTCACTATTTTTCACAGTGGAAACTACACATGAGCACAGAGGAAGACTGATTTGTGTTTTGTGGTGACCACACTGTGTTAATCTGGTGAGGCAGACCAGGGATGGAAATATGAAATGACCTGACACCTGTTGTTCTTAAAAAGAAGAGTGTGGGAAGTGGTAAAGTTACGCAGATAAAAGCGTCCTGTCACTTGGATTTAAATGTAAAGCACTAGAATACAAATTGGGGAAATGGTCTCACAACCTCAAAGTAAGACCCAGATGTAAGAGCAAGAAATATAAATCCTTTAAATTGAGTAAATGAATAAACACTCTTGTTTAAACCATTAATTATTCTGTTATTGTTGCTATACCTTCTGTACTTTAGCCTGAAAACAAAGCAGGAGTTCCGATATGGTTCTTGTTGTATTGTTCACTCACAAAGTGTCTCTATGTCTGTCTTTCTTTAGATGTTTGCAAGTCGACCACACAGGCACCCAGGTTCGAGTGGATCAGCAAGTACCACAAAAACACCAGAGGCCAGGGAGTTGTCAAACAGGCCCCCTCTCTCCTCGGCTCAACACTCACTCAACTCAACGAGCACAAGAAAACAGGTTTGTCATCTTGTTTTTATTTGCAGAATTTCATTTCCTATCAAACTTCAATTATTTGGAATAGGCCTAACAGTGCAGTGG